AGGGAAAGATAATGGAACACCAGAGGCTAGGATTATGGACATCAAAGAGAAAGAAAATGTTCATTTTGAAAATAACTGTGGTCAGGTAGGTGAGACAGTTAATCAAAGGACTGTCTCTACTTTGGCTAGGATTAGATTAGGTCAGAGAAAAACAACTACAATAATTGTAGCCTAGGAAACAAAATGGGAAAATTTGAACTCCTAGCATTGAACCTGAAACTGGATTTCATAGGGCTAACAGAACACTGGTGCAATAGCAGTCAAAATTGGAACACAGTTACTGAAGGTTATGCATTGTTGGGAACAGATTTTTAAAAATGTAAGGGAGACAGGGCAGTTTAGTATATCTTAATATCTTATCCCAATATCTTTTGCAATATGCTTGACTGCAAAAGAAATAGGACTCTTCTGTGGTTGAAGTCACTTTGGGGAAGGATTGTACAATGAGACTACAAGGATAGTCTTATAGGTTTCCTATATACCTACAAGATTAGGTTTGGTTATTGATAGAGAACTCTGGATTGGACAGAAAAATACTTCCAGGCACTGTGTCATTATGGGAGACTAACTTGCCAAATATAGGTTGAAAAATAACCGCTGCTAATAATTATTATAGAGCCTATGACCAATGGTTACAAAGATATTCAGAGTTTGGTACTGAAAATATTCATGTAGCCACTATTAATCTATTAGTTTATTAGTAAAAGACAGATATGTAGTATAAAAGGACTATTACATCTTTGTAGAACAATGTCACAAGATTACCTCACTTTTGACAGCTGTCCAAAAATGAATGCTCAAAGATAATTATTTATATCCCACCTGGTTTCAGCAAACAGAATAGTAGACATTTCTATGGTTTGCCCATCTTCTTATCTGTTTTGAATACAGCATCCCAAACTTAGCAAAGAAACAGTTTCTTTCCTAATGCTTTCGCAGCAAAAAAATTGAGGGATTTGAGATTATTAATCTCCATTCCAGATCCTGGAGGGGAGGGTTTTCTAATGACTAAAAACCTTTCTGCCCCTTACAACCTGAACTTCTCCATTTCTTCTTCTCTTTTCCCAGCTCCTACCCACTAACACACTATTGCCAGTCACCACCGATCTGTACCCATTTTTTCCCCTCCAGCTCAGGTCTGCCATGTTCTCTCCTTCTATCTAAGTTTCCCCACCTCCTCTACTTTTAGCCTTCCTTTTCTGTTGCTCTTGCCCTTCTTTAATATTTTGATTCTCTATAGGTTCTTGTGCTGCTTTCACCATACTATCTAAGCACCTCCCAGAAGTTTATATTGTCTTTCATTTTCTCCAGAGGGAAAAATTATTGTGCTCAATGAAGTACTCCACTGTGGTGGTGCTTTTCTTCGGGGTTGCAGATTTTTACCATTTTTTTGCTGCTCTGTCTTGATCATAGAGAAGGCAAACTGAGGGATAGTGCCTTGCATTTGGAGCAGAATAGAACAATGTTTCTAATGATCTTGAGTTGCAATTGGAGTTACATTTATGTCCTTGCACTGCTCCAGAGAAAGCTCTATCTCCAGTACAGGTGAGCTGATAGGAAGTTCCACTAGCAGGCACTGTGATTGTGATAGTGTTCATCCTGGAGCTTCAAGCAGTCTTTTAGAGATGCTGGCCCAAATCACTGAGGACCATGAAGACAAGGACCATGACTATGAACTTGTCCCAATAGTTCATGAGAAGCCAGTGTAGAAGGCGGAGAAGAAGTCTGTTGTGCTCATAGTAGTCTGCATTTCTGAGACCACACTGCACCATTCTATACTACTAGGAGTTTCTAAATGCTGATCACTTCATGCCCAAGTATATTGCAGTGCTATAGTTGAGCTGGAGGTGGTAAAGATGAAAATAATTGAGATCAGATCATTATCTGTCATGATGGAACAGGTGTCTGGCCAACTGGTAACAATGGAAAATATTATTCACGGGTGCTGCTATGTGAACACTTTGCGTCAGCAAGGGATCCAAGAGTACTGAACATATACACTTTGCTTCAACCAAAGAAGATTGCACTGTCACTATAAACATTTCAAAATGCTTTCCCCTACCTACCAACATCATCTCTATCATGCTTGAGTTTAACTGCATCTAAACCCATGAGCTGATTTCATCCAACATGAGGTCAGCTTGATATAGTCATACAGTATCAATGGATAAGAAGAGGTGTGTATCATATTGTTGATGACTGATCAGTTCACCTAATGCCTGCAGGTAGATTGTGAATAGGATCAAACAGAGAGTTGGTGGCTTAAGGGATATGCAAATGAGGGGACTTGTGCCTAAGATGTGGGTACTGGTTTAAGCAGGAAAGGGTGAAAGTAAAGGAATGACATCACAGCAAGGAACAAGTTATATCCTTATGTTAAACACTAATATACTTTTGTACCCATGCATCTTTATCTAACCATTGTGACAGCTAAAAAGTGTGCCTATGTGATAAACGTGCTTGCTGAAGGCTCTATGAAGATTAAGCAAAGTGTTTTTCTGTATTTGTTTAGATATTAAGCTATATGTTATTGCTAAAAGCCTAATTAAAGTCTAAGATGTAGTGAGGCCTTGTATAAAGTAAGGCCTAGTAAATTTAGCAAAGCTTTGAAGTAGTAAGGCCCTGTAGCATAGTTAAAATTAACTTATCAAAGGAATGCAAGGCTTGTACTGCTAATTGGTCAGTCTAAGGACAGTTGAAGTAAAAGGAATCTGAGTGGTCGTTTGTTATCAGTATCATTCAGAAGGTATAAATGAGCCAGAATATCTAGAAACCATTCAGAAGGAAGATACAGCTCTGTGAAAAGGATTAGTTAGCTGTTGCCTGGATCAGTGGGCCCATGGACCTTGAGGAGCCCAAGGACTGCATTCCAGGGTCCTTCCCGGTACCACTCGGACAGAGAGTGCTGTTCAGGGACACCTGACTTCGCTGAACTTTGTGGAAAGAGAAGCTTGCTGTTAATCAGACATCAGAGCAGACTGCCGATAAGTTGCCGACATGAATTGCTTTTGTCTGTCATTGTTTGTCTTGTTACTACGCGTAGTTGTGTTTTTGTTAAGTCAATAAATCTTTCTTACCTTTCCACCCCCGACCAAACTCTCAATCCCGAACCCTCCGCAGGCGGCTGGGACAACCATCACTATAGTGAATATCCCACTCTGTTTTTTTCTGAAACCAAAACCTCTTGGTAAACTGGCTTGTAGGATACGTGTTTATGAATGTGTGAAAATGCACATAATGAGAGTGAACCCAAAACACCCTGAAATGACATCACAAATTTCATACTTCCCGAAGGTATGTTAGAATGAAGTCTCATCAGCTATGAAACAGATTTATGAATTTGAATTCATCTTTTTTATTATTTAAAAGATTACAAGACTTTTTAATTATGCAAAAAATAGACCATGTTCACACAAATACATGTAATTATATCTTTGAACTATGTTTATCTTTAATGATTGACTATAAAACTCTTTCACCTTTCCAAAAAAGTGTTTTTGCTGTCATTTATGAAAACAAAAGGGTAGGTTATTTTTAAGGCAGGTCTCAATTGAGATAGAGGGTTTCTAGAAGTAATTCATTTAGGATGACTTCTCCTAAGATGGGTCTGAAGAAGAGTTCTTCAATACTATCTGCATCAACAGTACTGAGGCTGGTGAGGAACCCAAGGACCCAAGAAAACCTGCTTAGGTTCCTGTCATACATCATAGAGATAAATTCCATCAGAGTGCGCTGGGCTTCTTGCTGCAGGGTTTGCACATAGGGACAACATTTGAGGCCATGCAATTCTGTAAGAGAAAGAACAAAATGGGGAGTTTATAACATGAATGTCCCTCCATAATGAATGGTATCCTTCCCCCTAGCTGTTTTTATTTTTTGTTTAAGAAAAAAGAAATAAATAGTTCAATAACTGACCTATTCAGTAAAATATTTTAAGCACCTTGTAATGCAGATTTACTTGTCATGTTTGGGGGAAAATATTACTGGGCAAGTGAGTTAGACTAAAACATACGGAGTGCATCTATACTTGCTATTAATACGATTGACTAAATTCCAGCACAGTCTGACTCTGATCCCAGAAGCAGGGCAGGAAGCAGAAGAGGAAGGGGGAGCCCAGAGCAAGCCAGAGCAATAGAGCGAGCAGTGGCCAGGTGAGAGCCCATGGGGCACCAGTTAGATAGGCCTGCTTTAAATTATAACCATGAAAGCATTCAAGAAAAGCACAGAACTAACAGCCTAGGTAGCATAAATTGAGGTGCCTTTATAGTGCTTTTGTCCTTTCAATCCTGAGCTGCTTCTGAATCTAGAAAGGCTCTTAACAGACTGTTGCCAGTCCCAGGTGCTCCACTAAGCTGCAGCAGTTTCCCTAGTGTGCCCTATAGGTCATGCTGCTGCCTAGACAATCACTAGCATTTTATGTCCTGCCCTCAATACCCTCTGCCAGGTCACTCTTGGTGTCCTCCCTAGGCCAGTGCTGGAAGAGGTTTTCAGAAAGCAGTTGTGGTCTTTTGCAGTGAATGCAGTAGGGAAATTCTCCTCCACAGCCAAACAAGGGGCTTTAGGGCCTTTCAGCTGCCATAAAAGGACTTCAGCAGAGATCATTATGTGAGAATTTCACCCATATTACCCAGTGGGATCATTCTGGTCAGGATCCTCCCCCTAATTACTCTGTATCAAAACTGGTCAAGAAAAGCACTTGTGCCAGTGGTATAGATAGAAGAGGGGCAGGCTGTCATTTGCTCTAGAGCCACATCAGCCCCAGCAGCCCAAAACAGGGCTTGCTCCTGACAGGACATTCCCTGCATATGGGGGTCTGCCTCTAGATTTTGCCTCACCCCTATAACAATATATTGATACCCCAATTGTGGGCAGTTATTCAAGGATGGGGCTGGTCCCACTGACTTCAGCTGTGTCCAGCTGTTTTTTACTGAATCAGGGCATAATCAGAGTCAGCTCTGGGACAGGCTTGGGTGATCGCCCGCTGCAGAGTATGTCACCTTTAGCAGCTAAACTGTCTTGTTACTGTTCCCCAACTTCCTGTGCCTCTTATCTCTTGATGCCATGATTTTGCTGTTAGATATATAAAAGGAAGGCTGCCTATGGAAGCCAGGGTGACCAACTCCTTGGGGCCTGTTGCCTCGCTCCTCTCACCCCACAGGTGTACTCCCTCTTTAAAAGAGGGCTGTGGTTACCTTAGGGGTGGACAGTTATTTCAGGCAGAGGGCCTCTTGCTGAGTTTTGACAAGCCATCGATGGCCACATGATAGGCAACCAGGGGCAGATTAATATTAGTTTTCTAAATTTTTTAGGGGCCCCGTGGGACAGATAGAATGGCCTGGTGAGCTGCATCCAGCCCACATTTTGCCACCCCATAGTCATACATATGCCCTGCAGATGACTCCCAGTGTTCCCTTCATAACAAACCTCTATGTCCAAATCCACCCTGGGCCCTTTGGCCCCAAGAGCCTTGTCTGGGCTTCGGCCTGCCCGGCTTCAGCCCTCTCTCTGACTGAGGCTTCTTCAGCCCAGGTCCACTACCTCAGACCCTAGCTTCCTGGGTCTCAGCCTAAGAGCAGAGAGTTGCCCCTGAGGCAACGCATTCCTCCACCCCTGCAGCCACAACCTGCTAGTCTTAAGCATTGCCAAAACAAACACAAGCAAACCGCTTTCCAAAAAGTCACTTCACTTTGGCTCCTTGCCTCACCACATGCCCTGAGCTCCCTCTTGGCTTTCATTTGTAGCTCTAGAGATGACTGCTTAGGCACCAACCAGTCCATCTCCTGAAGCCCCCAGCATCAGGAGATCTACTCCCTAATCCCTGCATAGTCAGGTTGCCCTTTTTGCTCCCAGGCCCTGGTTTTATGTGCCCCAGAGCTCCACCCCTTCCTGTCAGCTCGCTCTCCAGCCAAACACAGTGGTTTCCCCTCTGCCTAATAATCATCCTGCCCCCATCTGCTGCAGCTTAGCTCAGCTGCCTCTGCTTGGCCTAACAAGCTTTGGCTGCTCCTGCCCTGCAACCTCCATGGGCCCACAACAGGCCCCAGACAAGGTCTGTTTTCTTGTTGGGACTGGCTGCTCTTGCCACTGGCCCTTGAGGGCTACAGAAGTCCTGCCCGCCTCAGACTGAAGCTAACAGGGTTGGGGTTTCCCATTACAGACTCCAATTAAACATGCTCTGCCACTGGTGTGGAACTATAGTAAACAAGGAGAGAATCCCATTTCTCCTAAATACAGGGACATTACATTTATTGCAAGTCATTTACATAAGTTTAATGCACATAAAACAGTGCTTGGTGAAAGTTTGGAACAATCCATAAATAAGAGAGACAGACTACCATGAAAAATAACAAAAAAGAACTATATGATTTGTCACTGTATAGAAATTTAAAAACATCACTGAATAAAAGTGCAACTGTGGTTACTAAAACTAAATGAAAATGTAAATCTAACAGCACTACAGACTGACCTACAGTAATGCATTTCATTGCAAAGGTCTTCTGATTCTCCATTGTTATTTTAAAACATAGTAATCATACCATCATTCTCACTGTAGTTAATGAATCCAAAGGACAATACAAGATTTGACAAGTACAGCAGAAAAGTATTCTGTTCAGAGGAATAATTTTAGCCCTTCTTTTTTCTTTCTAAATAAAGCTGGGCATGGTGTGCAGTGAAGACAACCCAACCCATCCCATGCCATAAATTGTATTGAGTGGCTGAGAGAGCACCTACTGCCAAATGGACCCAGGCACATATTAACATAAAAAAGCCTTTGATCTGGTGTCCCATGACCTCCTCATGGAAAAATTGGCCAACTGTGGCCTCAGCTACACCACAGTCCGATGGCTGGGAAATTGGATCTGAGGTCAGAACCAGAGAGCAATGGTCGTTGGCAGCAAGTTATTATGGCACTCTGTAACCATTGGTGTCGCCCAAGGCTCTGTCCTTAGACCAATTCTCTTCAACTTCTTTATCAACGATGTGGACATTGGTGTCAGAAGTGTACTGGTTAAGTTCACTGATGACACTAAACTTTGGGACATAGCATCCACACCTAAGGACAGGCTAGTGATCCAGGCTGACTTGGATAAACTTAGTAAGTGGGCAAAGATTTTGGCCGTACTCACACCATAGCAGCTAGAGAAGAGGATTTGCTGCAAGCCTGGGGGTTGAAGCAGTTGCTTTCCCTTTTTTCCTGCATTCTCTAATCATTACAGGCAATCAGCAAGCTGTTAGCATAGCTCAAAAGTGTAACTAGATTATGGAAAGCACAATATTATTTACTCAGAATACATATTTCCCCCAAACCTGCTAAATTTTCTGTGTTGTTCCACTTGTCCATGGAACCAAACAGTGCATTAAAGCAGTGGTTTTCAAGCTGTGTTCCATAGAAACCTGGGGTTCTGTGATAGGTCAGAGCTTCCTCAGAGAGACTGGGGTTAATGGCAGAGTGGACTGGGAGGTGGTGCATCAGTGCTGCCGGGCTGGGTCACCTGGCTCCATGTCAGTCTTTAGGATAGGAGTAGAGGTTCCATAGCAGAAGTGATATGGCAGAGTTCTGTGGCTTTAGAAAGTTTGAAAGCCACTGATTTAAAGTAATAGGAAGTCATTTGAGCAGATTTTTGCAGTAAGATTAGGTTCAGTATAAATGTTACTGTATAAATGTTACAGTAGCAGGCTGCATGCCTCAGGAGTGGCAGTCCAGCTGAAAGGAGGCAGAAGCCTGCCTCAATGAACAGGGCTAGCTGATGGCAATATTTGGCTGGCCCAGTAGGAATTAAAAGCTCCCAGAGAGAGACCAAAGGGGCAGACAGGAAGGCTGTGGGGCTGAAGGCAGAAGCCTGAGCCAGAGTACTCTCCCTAGGTTAGGGAGTGCAATGGAAGCTGAGAGAGATTGAGAGAGATACAGACTAGCAACTGCAACACTAAGCCCAATCACTCTCTCTTAGTCTAGGAAAAGTCCCTAAACCAGGGGTTTTTAAACTGTGAGCAACTTAAAAGGGGGTCACAAACTTCTCTTCCCTCCCCAATGCATAAACACTGCCTGCTTCCCTCCCCCCGCAGCAATGCACATGTTCTTGGACTTGCCCACATTGGAAATCTCTTTTGTTTTCTAATCTCGGCATGTACACATTAGTGAAGCTCAGTATTTATCTGTCAACAGTTCAATTGACTGTGTGTGACTGAGTGAGAGTTTTCTCTTCACAACATCCTACTTGTGTGAATCAGGGTTTTCAGCAGTTGCCACTATAAAGAGCAAATACCAATCAAAAATAGATGTGGAGTGCGAAATGAGAGTGGCAGTCTGGAAAATAAAGCTGGTTTGAAAAACTAAGCAGTACCCAGCAAGCTCATCCTTCTCTTTGAAAACTATTGACAGTTTTAATATTTGACAGTGGGTTGGTTTTTTTCAGTGAACCAGTTTTGAATTTGATAAACTTTATTATAAAGTGTTTTTGACAAATATATTTCATTTAATATACAAAAGGTAAATGTGCTTTATTTATCACCTACCTAATCCTAATTAAATCAATAGCTTTAATCAGGGGGGGGTTACATAAATGTATACATCATTCTACAGGGTTGCAATATCACACAGTTTGAGAACAAATAAACATTTGTGTGTTTATTTTGTTGATTGTTTTTATTGATTCCTGCAGGGAGGGAGCTTTCCCCGAGGAAAAAGATTGTAAACAAAGGCTGTGTGACATGAGCAATTCCCCAACCCACTACAGTTACCAACCATGTTATAAAACCCCAAAGAATGTCATTTTACAAAAGGAACCCT